TACTGGAAATGAAATGTGAATCATGTGACAAGGTAACACCTGTGAATTCAGAGGTGAGAGATTACTATGAGGTTGGGTGAAGGTTGATGATGTGTTGTGGGGATCAGGTTGCAGAAAGTCAGGAAACACCTTGCTAAGGAGCCTGGGTGTTAATAACAGGCCCACAAGAGCTACTGAAACTTAGAGTGTGTGCTAGTAAAAAATGATCACAGTCGTATACATTTTCATGGGGAGGTCAGACATTGAATAATTACAACTATGAAGAATGGAAGGTAGAGCTACAATGGAAGGTAGAGCTTACAGTGGTGGTACCAAGGGTAGCTTCATCAACATACAACTTAAATTAAGATACTTATCCACTATCTGTAGCTTCAAGTTTGCCTAAGCACTCCCTTGTTCCTTTCCCCAACCTCAAACAATTACCATCACAGGATCTTGTCTGTAAGGAAATTCTGGAGCTTCCATGGGTATAGTGCTGACTATAAAAAGGAAGAGACGATCCTACCCTACATAAGCAGCTGGCTAACGGGGGGCTGCAGAGCAGATTTTTGTGGATGATCTGCTCTCCCCTACTGCTGGCAGTATTGGAATAAACGCTCATATATGAGAAAAAGAAAAAAAAAAGGGACAATCTGGTAAGTGGGAGTTTAGGGAAAACTTCCCAGAGGAAATGACTTAATCTGTGTGCTACAAATGTGAATGGGCACTAACTAAGGCAAAGTCTGGAGGCACGCAGGCAGAAACAATGTAGGCTGAGAAATCCCTGAAGCAGTCAAGAATGACGTTAATGCGATAACCCAACAGGAGAGGAATGGTCTGAGACGGTATAGTGCCATAATATGTCATATTGAGAATACTGGACTTTAAGGGAAATACTAGTAGGAAGTTAAGCTGTTAAGCATGATCAAATTTTTGTCCCATGAAGGATGAGTTCACAGAAAACTAGGAAGCATGAGCAAACAAATCATAAAAGTTAGCAAACAAAACAAATACCAAGTTTAGACACCTAATGTGAAAACAACATCAATACTCTGAAAGAAAATAAGTGCGTATAATTGTTAAAAATAGAGAGCAAAACAGGTTAAATAGGCTATGTATGATACATCCAAGGACAGAATGCGTGACCTAGAACATAGAACTGATGAAATGAAACAAAGAACACAGGTAAAGAACTAGGGAAAAGGGTTTAAGAGACAGAGGTTAGGCTGTAAAACGATGTGAATTCCATTCAGGCAGAATATTTGTTTTGCTTACCGAGGTATCTCAAATGCCTAGGACAGTGCCTGGTACTGAATTTAGTTAAGTCAAAATCGAATAATTACTAGAAGTTGTGTAAGGAGAGAATAGAGGAAAAAGCAATATTCAAGAAACTAAGAATTCTCTTGCAATCAATAAAAGGCATGACTGTTTATAAAAATCAGTGACTCCAAAGCAGAATAAACTGTTTTCAGAAATTGGACAACAGGTATAATAGGGCCATGATCCTAGAGAAGGAAAATCAGCAGAGTGAGCCCATATTTCTTCCCATGGCAGTTTCAAAAGAGGGAATCCAAACAGAGTCCAATACTACCACTGAGTTGAGAAGATAGAATCCTCGAGGAAGCTAGAATTTGCTAGCAGAGTACTGGAGGCAAAGGAGCTATGCAGAGAGAGCTCCAGAATTCTGCTTAGGGGTCCCTAAGTCTTAGTGAAATACTAACCTGCGCATGTGTAGGGTGAAACTTCACGAAGCTAGGGAAAGAACAGCTGTGAGGTAAAGAATAATTACGAGAAGCCACACAGCTCTCAGAGCTTGCACAGGGCTGGGAGTCATTTACACCCAGAAGCTGGAGCAGACAGACCTTGTTAAACACATGGCACATTCAGTGGAGACTGTAGATACGTCATGTCTTAAGAAAGGTATACATAAGAGGAAAATTGACCAATAAAAACTGATCCAGATCTGAATGAGAGTGGAATTAGCAGGCAAGGATATTAAAACAGCATTTATAAACATAAGTATGCTCAAGGATATAAAAAAGACATGAGTACAATGTGGAGGAAAATAGAAGATACACAGTGGGGCAAAAGTAGGTTTACAGTTGTGAGTATGTGAAATACTGTATCCTTGTATTTATTATCTATTGGTATTATAACTGTAAGCCTACTTTTGCCCACCCCATATATTAAAAAGAACCAAATGGGAGTTTCCAGAGGTAAAAAATTCACTGGATGGGATCAATAGGAGATTTGACATAGCAGAAGGAAACATAAGTAAACTTGATATGGCAATACAAGCTATCCAGAATGCATAGAGGTAAAAAAGACAAAAAGTCACAGCAAAATTAGAAAATATCTTTCATTAAATGAAGGTGAAAATAATATATCACTTGTGGGATACAGCTTATACAGTGAAGAGGAAACAGCATTAAAATACTCATTAAAATAAGAGGTCTGAATTCAGCCTACCTTAAAAAAGTAGAGAAACAGCAAATTAAACCCAAAGTAGAAGGAAGAATATGAAGGAGTACAAATCAATGAAATAGGAAATGAATGAACAGAAAGTCAACTCACTGTAATTACCAGTTCTTTAAAATAGATAAACTTCTAGCTAGGCTTATCAAGAAAAAAGAGAAAGTACAAATTACCAGTATCGGGAATGAGAGAGGACATAACTGGAGCTCTTGTATATAAGATATTAAAAGGATAAGGGGATAAACAACAACATGCCAACTCATTTGATAATTTAGATGAAATGAATAATACCTTGTGTGATAGATTAGAAAAACTGACTAAAGAAGAAATATAAAACCAAAACATCCCTGTATTAATTAAACTAAATTTATAATGAAAAACCTTTTTTTTCAAACAAAAGTCAAAGCACAAATGGCTTCACTAATTTGTTGAATATTTAAGGAAAAAGTATCCTACACAAACACAGAAAATAGGTTATTTTTCAGAAAACATGTTATGAGGCTAGTATAATAATCTAAATATCCTAAATCTAAAGCCAGAAAAAAATATTACAAGAAAATTATAAACCAGTAACTGGAGTAACCCATGTAAATAAAGACAAAGAATGCTAGAATATATAAAGAAACTGTACTAGAAAAGATATTCTAGTAGAAAAGTGGGCCAAAGATATAAGCAATTCATAGAAAGAATGAGAATGACCAATAAACACATGAATTCTCACAAAATAAAATCTTTTAATTAAAACATAAACCGTTTCACACTTATTGGTCTGGCTAATTTTTTAATGTTCAGTAACACCAAGTGATAGTGATGGGGAAACTGGAAACTTAAACTATTAGGAGAGTAATACACTTCCGGTGTCAGGAGAATGGGTACAACCACTTTAGAGAGCAGAGCCACTTCTAGATAATCAACTCCATGGAAACTTAACACGTGTACAAGGATGTAGAATATTCACTGAAGCAATAATTTGTAGTAATGAAAAAGTGGAAGCAAATTATATCTCAAAAGAAGAATGTCTGATTTATTTCTATAACAAAATACTGTACAACAATGAAAATAACCTACATTTGCCAACATGGATAAATCTCAAACACACAGTTAAGTTACAAGTCAGTTGCAAAGAGGTATATACAATATAACATTCATGTAAAATGTTAAAACAATCCTTAACAGTCTATGGATAAACATTACAGCAAGAATGCAGAAATATTAAAAGAACAAAAACACCAAATTTGGAATAATGATTTTGAAGATGAAGGATCAAAACTAAATCAGGAAATGTCAACAGAGAACGATCTACCAAAGTAAAGGCAATAAATATCTAGAGCAGGAGTTGGCAAACGTTCTTGGTAAAGGGCTGGAAAATAAATATTTTAGGTTGCAGGCCAAAAAAGTGAAATCAAAGGTTTTATGTAAGTGCTTTATTGGGTTCAAATTTAGTGTTTTTACCACCAAATCAATAGCCAGGATTTCATTTTTTTCCAACCATTTAAAAACAAGACATTTTTTAGCTTGCAGATCATACAAAAGCAGGCAGAGGGCTGTATTTGGTCCAAAGGCTGTAGTTTGCCCATTGCTGGCCCAGAACAGAATTGTCCTATAGAACTTTCTCTGGTGATGGAAATATTCTGTCTGCATTGTCCCTAATAAGTGGCTACTAAGCATTTGAAATGTGGCTACTATGATTGAAAAATTAAATTTTAAATTGGATTTAATCTTAATTACATTAAGACAGCCATTCAAGAGTTTTTATGAATTTAAAGAACAGGTGTAAGGGGACTGGTTGAACAAATAAATAAAGGGGGGGAAGAGATTGTGATGGGAAAGTAGGACATTCAAATCAGTGAGGACTGGTATCTGAGAACAGGGACATTAAAAGTAGAAAGAAGCGCATGGCTTTGGAGGTCAGAAATAAAAGAATTTTGGCTGATGAAAAGATTTGGGGTGTGCCTGATACAGAATGCAAAGAGGTATAGAGATAGTCAAGAAAATTGGAGGTCAGGATTGGAAGAATCCTCCACTAAAATAGAATTTGTCGATCATTCCACAATGAAAAGTTGGGATTCCACAATGAAAAGTTGAAAGAAATGTTGAGAGTATGGTGGGGGAGCTAAGAGTTTCATGGTAGTGACTACAGAAAAAAACCAGTGGGAAGAGAAGTGTTCAAGAAGGATGAGAACACAGTGAAGCTAGAAAGTAAGATGACCACGGGCATACTCTTTGATATTTAAAGAAGAAAAACAGCCCTAGCCGGTTTGGCTCAGTGGATAGAACTGAAGGGTCCTGGGATCGATTCTGGACTAGGGCATGTACCTCAGTTGCAGGCTTGATCGCTGGCCCTGGTCAGGGCACATACAGGAGGCAACCAATTGATGTGTCTCTCTCACATCGATGTTTCTCTGTCTCTTCCTCTCCCTTCCACTCTCTCTAAAAATCAGTAGAAAAATATCCTTGGGTGAGGATTCCGCCCCCCCCCCACCCCAAAAAAGAAAAATATCCTACAAATAAGAAAAATACAAACACTATATTATATAAATTTTATTGCTCTTTAAAAATCGATAATCTACAGTACTTTAAAGTTTAAAGAGGTATATACAAGCAGTGGCTTCAAACTTTCAGAACTGAACTAATTCCCTCTCATTGGTTAATCAAAAATATAAACAAATCCTTGGCATTCAGTCATTTAACATTTGAGATGACTAAATAAGTAACTATCCTGAAAGTCCATGACATAATAATTTGTGATTCTGTTGAGGTATCACTTAGAACAATATATATACAGAGCTTAGCTTGGGGTTCAATTAATTACTTAACTAGTCCCTCACTCTAATACCAATTTTCTCCAAAGGCATGCACTTCTTTCTACTTTAAATTAATGTCATGAACTCATGCACATTTTATCTGAAAAATTAAATACAACAATGGTATAAAGGAGACACAAACAATAGAGTATACCCTACTGTGAATACCAAGAATTTACTTTATTCAAATATTATATAAGGAGTTTCAAAAGATCCTCAGCCTGTTTTCAAAAGTCATTCTCATAATCCCCACTAAAGGGAAAAGTAAAAGGGCCAGAAGCTTCTAATTACAATATGTTATTTGAATAATCATTAATTCCCAAAATGTTGGCATAAGGTACATTTTGACTAAAATTATGGGTGTTAGGCAGTATAAGAAATCTAACTATAACAGTGCTTCAGTCCAGTTGTTTATATTTACAATAAAAAATAAACCAAATCTATTAAAGGCTTAAGCAAAAAGATCACATTTGAAGTATAGTTTTTAAAAAACATTTGTGACCTAAAGTCCCATTAAGAGAATATTCTATGGCACAGTCCACCCCACTTGTGTGCTATCTTATAGATTCTCTCTTGGAGCAATAGAAAGGGCTGCGGGATGAATTTAGTTATTTATTTTTTCTATTCTCTTTGGGATGTATTTAAACCATGTCCAACAAATGCTTTACTGTATTTGCTTCATACTTTTTTTTTCTTTTTAGAACTGCGTCTGGAATCCTTTTTTTGCTTAAAAACAGGTGAATTCAAGAAACACAAATCTGTAAAAGGGTCTCCTCTTCTTAGTTTCCTATAAAGATAAAAAGAGCTCTTTAGCACCCCAATACTGACTACAGTATCTTTACAGTATCTTTAGGATAAAGTTACTGTAAAATAGGCCAGTGTTAATATTCCCATTTCAGTTTTTTTTTAATCAAAATTTTATATATTAAGATTCACTCTTGTACAAAGCTCCATTACCTTATTTCCCCCGTCCCCCAACTGTATCATTAAAAGTGAGTTCCCACACATTAAATACTTACGAAGCGAGTGTGGGTTCCTTATAGTTCACACTGACTGTGCACCTACGCTTAGGCAGAGACCCTCCTGGGCTTTCTTTCTTCTGTTGTGGAGAAAGAGAAAGTTTTCTAATTTTCACTTCAGCATACAAGGGGACATTGGTGATATCCTTCAGGCTAAAACGAGGTGACTGGTGAGTTTCAGGTACTGCACCTACAAAAACAACTTTTACTGAATATGAGTCCAAAAAACCCAAACACACACACACACACACACACCATAGGAAGTAAAATTGTATGCAATTACATATCTGAAATATATACAGAATCCAGCATTTTATAATACAGATTTTTAAACCTGTTTATCAGGTTTTCATCCCAGATGACATTGAAATGCTAAGTATTGTAGATGTGAAAAACTAATACGATAGTTTACTAGAAGTTAAAATTCTTGAAATTAACTATGGAATTTCATTTTAGTCACATCTTTTTTTTATATATTTTATTGATTTTTTTTTTACAGAGAGGAAGGGAGAGAGAGAGTTAGAAACATCGATAAGAGAGAAACATCAACCAGCTGCCTCCTGCACACCCCCCACTGGGAATATGCCCACAACCAAGGTACATGCCCTTGCCCAGAATCGAACCCGGGACCCTTCAGTCCGCAGGCCGACGCTCTAGCCACTGAGCCAAACCAGTCAGGGCCATTTTAGTCACATCTTGCTCTTTAGAGTCATCAAGGCCTCTATCTCTTTCAGTGCCAAAACTTATCATCAAGTGGCTTTCTATATTCTTATAAAGCCACTTAAACTCATTCTCTTACGTAAACGAGAACTCTAAATCACAGCCTCTGTGTAAACCAGGAGAAATGGAGTTTCCTCTAGTAAAGCTAGTAGGTTAAAGAGTTATCCAGTGTTTTTCCTATCATAAGTACCCAAATTATTCTACTTTGGAACAACATCTATACTGGGGGACAGATACCTAGCACACAGTAAGGAAACAGCAAAACAAACAATCTCTTCAAATAGCTTTGAAAAGCAAATCATTTCCCAAGAACGACTAACTACATTGTGACTGTAAAATGACTTTATACTTAGTAACCCTGTTCTCTAGGATTATCTGGGTTTCAAATATTCTTCTTCTTTTTTTAAAAAAAATATATTTTATTGATTTTTTATAGAGAGGAAGGGAGAGGGATAGAGAGAGTTAGAAACATTGATGAGATAGAAACATCGATCGGCTGCCTCCTGCACACCCCCTATTGGAGATGTGCCTGCAACCAAGATACATGCCCTTGACCAGAATCGAACCTGAGACCCTTCAGTCCACAGGCTGACGCTCTAGCCACTGAGCCAAACCCGTTAGGGCACAAATATTCTTTTTTTTGTACCAACATGAGCATACTGTACTATACTAATTATTCTAATTTTCAATTTGGAAAATATGGTTAAGTAAAAACATCAGATCAACTGTTATATTCTGTAAAGTTTAAGAAATTTCCAGGTAACCCTCATGCTGAAGGTCCAGGGACCACACTCTGAGTAACACTATTTAGAATGTACATGTTTTCTTTTAAAAATGTATGGAAATTTTCAAATGTACTCAAAGATGGAGACAATAGTATAATGAAACAACAGTTACCGAGCTTCAATAATTATCAACATTTTGCCAAAATTGTGTGATTGACTCTAGCATCATCCTATATAATAAAAGGGTAATATGCAAATAGACCGAACGGCAGAACAACCAATAAAGCATAATATGCTAATGATATGCTAAGACTTCTCAACTGCTCACTATGACATGCACTGACCACCAGGGGGCAGATGCTCTGATCAGTAGGTTAGCTTGCTGCTGGGGTCTGGCTGTTTGGGACTGAGCGAGATGGGCTGGACATGCCCTGGAGCCCTCCTGCAGTCCCTCCCCAGCTCGATCATGCACTGGTGGGGTCCCTCAGCCTGGCCTGTGCCCTCTCGCAATCTTGAACCCTTTGGGATGTCGGAGAGCCGGTTTCAGCCCGATTCTGCAGGTCACTCCCCTTGGGAGGGTGCCAGACACAGGGCTTATAGCTGGTGAGCACTGCTGTGGCAGCGCGAGCCTCTCCTGATCGTGACTGATTGGGAGCAAGCCCGCGGCAGGTACAGTGGGACTGGGATGAGCGGGAGCAGCAGGTAGGAGCTGTAGGCGGCGTTGGACTGTGGGTTTCGGCCTGATCTCTGCAGGCCACCCAGAGGGACCCCACCTATGCACGAATTTGTGTACCGGGCCTCTAGTTATAGCATATTTTAAAAAAAGATATTTGTAAACTATCCCACCTAACTGGTTGGCCTTGGAAAGTCTTTTACGCTTTAGTTTCCTTACAAACAAACAAGCATGATTACACCTTTACTTCACAGAGTTGTTCTTAGGATCAATTTTGAGAATGATAAAACCTGACTGTGTATGTTATTTTTTCCAAACTAATTAAATTCCCAGATGAGAATCTTTGTGGGCAGGTGCAGGCTATATCCTCAACCTCTGAATCATGCTGACTTTTGATCTAACAAAGGCAAGATCTTCTAAGCCAGTTTTTTTTTTTATGTTTTAATATTTTATTGATTTTTTTTTACAGAGAGGAAGGGATATGGGTAGAGAGTTAGAAACATCAATGAGAGAAAAACATCTATCAGCTGCCTCCGCACACCCCCTACTGGGGATGTGCCCACAACCAAGGTACATGCCCTTGACCGGAATCGAACCTGGGACCCCTCAGTCTGCAGGCCGATGCTCTATCCACTGAGCCAAACTGGTTAGGGCCTAAGCCAGTTTTTAGATGTCTTACAAAAGAATACTAAGCCCATCAATTGAGGAAAGAGTTTTTTGGTCTTATTAGGCCACATTCACTAAGTAGAAAATTATTTAAAATCATAGTTCCTGTCAAATCGAATATAAAGCAAAGCAATTAAAATGACAGGTCCTGGATTTAAGTTGATTTCATTTTCAAGGCGTGTTTCAGGTGAGTTTATGAAAGATATTTTAATTCAACCTAACTCCACAAAAAGTTTTTCCATGCCTTGAAAAGCTTCATTTACTAAAAGTAAAAATGCTTCCTCCACAACAAGTAGTATTTGTTCTTTTAATTTAAAATTTTTATTGAATTTATTGGGGTGACATTGGTTAATAAAATTATACAGGTTTCAAGTGTATAATTTTATGATACATCATTTGTATATTGTGTGTTCACCACCCAAAGTCAAGTCTCCTTTGGTCACCATTTATTTCCCATTTTAACCTCTTCTACTTCCCCCCATATTTGTTCTTAAAGAGGACCTAAATTACCTTAAAGCAGTTCAGAGCAATAGTACTGTGATTTCCACCCCTAGACCCTCCATTATTTAATCAGACTGTTAATTTCTCTCAAAGAGACAGATGGCAAGTCTCTAACCTCCCCCAGAGAAACAGATGGTAAGTATAGTATATAAGCATCAGGAGTGATCATTTATCATAAACATTAAAAATGCAGGCAAACAAGTAGATCACTTACTGGTAGGAGTTTTTGTTGGCTGAGAACTCTCCATCTCTTTTTCATCCCTACATCGTAGTGCTCTTGTAGATCGAGGCCTGGTGGTTGGGCTCCTATCTGATTGGCTGGTGAGACTTGGACTGTCCTTGCAAGTGGGCAAATAGAGGTCATCAGAATCCTCTTCTGAACTACTTGATTCATAGCTGCTCACTTCGGATACATTGGTATCTTCTTCTCTTTTAGAATCATTGCTCATTTTTTGTCGGAAAGGAGAAGGATGAACACCTTCTTCCAAATTAAAGTTGTAAGCATCATTGGAAGTGATAAAATCATCCACCTTTTTTTTGCAAACAGGTTTTCTATTTTTACTTGTGATTCCTTTATACTTACATACATATTTTGATTTTCTCCTTCTGTTAGCTTTTCTTTTCTCTCCTCTTCTTCTTCTTTGTGCATCTCCATGCTTATTTTTAGTTTGCTCAGATTTATACTCTAAAATATTTTCTTTTCTTTTAGCAGATCCTCCAGGGTGAGTCAGCTTTGGTGATAAGTTAATTTGATCCTTGTTCCACTGACAAATATTTTGTTCTACATTTTCAGATATGTGCATGTTTACTAATGGGTCTACAAATCTAATTGTTTCTAACCCAGAAGACTGCTCTGACATATGACTGATTTCAAAATTATCCAAGGTGTTGAATTGGCCTAAATTGTTAAAATGTTTCTTTAAGTTGCGACGGAGAGATACAGTTCTAGGTAAGATATTATCAGTAGATGTACCTTCACCTGAATCCAAATCAAATCCCAGCCTGTCTTGAGGAATAGTAGGCATTTGCTCTGAGAATTTAAAAAACAAATGAGAAAAATAGTTTTACTTTATGGAAATTTTAATTTCAAAGATCTTAGAAGTCAAAGTTAAAAATGGAATAAGTGAAGTCATTCTGTAGTTTCTCCATATTTACTATCTATAATAAAAAAGCGTAATATGCTAATTAGACGGGACAGCCAAATGACCTTCTGGGTGTCCTTCCGAATGAAGCTGGGGCTGCGAGGGCTGAGCCCCTTGCACGAATTTCGTGCATCGGGCCTCTAGTAAGTAAATAAAAACGTAGAGAAATTAATATTACCATCCATTTATTTGGCAGTGATCAATTGCTAGCTTATATCTCACCTGTGGAAGAATCTTATATAATATTCAAAAATATTCTAATTTGGGGTTTTATGTGTCCCTCATTTAAAGAATAACTAGTAGTTTACATGTATCTATGTGTATAGGATTGAGAGAAAAGGAATCTCATATTCCAAAGTAGGACAAATACACAAAGAAAGTGAAACTAAGTTGTTATTTGAAAAATGAGAAAAATTGGAATAACTGGAAAACATTTCAGGTAGGAAATATAATCTGCATTTTAAAGTGGGAAAATTTGGAGCTGCTTATTCAAATGCTTTCCCTTCTTCAGAGCTTAGTTCAGTAGAGGATTGATATTTGAGAATAGGGACACAATGATTTAAAAGTAGAAAGAAGGGCATGGCTTTGGAGGTTAGCTTTGAGTTTAAACCAGTGGTTCCCAAACTTATTTGGCCTACCGCCCCCTTTCCAGAAAAAATATTACTCAGCCCCTGGAAATTAATTTTTTTAAAATTTTAATAGCAGTTACTCATCGCCCCCAAATGCACCTGTGGCCATCACCACCCCCCTGGATCGCTGCGCACTTTGGGAATCACTGGTTTAAAGCTTGATTCTTACCATCTGGGTTACTTCTTTGAGTCTATATAATATGGGACTGAGTGTACCTATATTGCAAGGTTGTTGTGAGGGTTAATTGAGATAATATATGTAAAATGCCTAACACGGATCTTAATATGTTGTCAGGTTCAGGAAATTGCAGCCACAGTTATAGCTAAGGTTTCTAATTATAGATTTGGCAAAATAAATGGATATACTTTAAAACTCTTATTATTCTTTGTAAAATAAACAGATATGCTTTAAGCAGAAGAATATCAGGCGAAAAGATTAAAAAGTTAAAAAGGAAAATTAGAGAAATTTAATTATGTTACTTTTTTTCAAAGACCTCATCTTACCCTTCACATCATATTTTCAGATTTTCACTTGAATTACCTTCTATTTGGAATGATTCCCCTTGTTCTGGAAGGTGATCTTCCTGAAGAGGAGCTTGCCTTAGAAATACCATTGAAAAATAGAAATTTAATTAACAATTATGAAATAAAAATAAATTTAAGATTTTCTTGAAATTAAAATATTATATTTTCCTTAGTATTATTTCATAATTCCATTCTAAGTCAGTACATCTATTCTACATCAAAGGAAACCAAACAACATTTGTACTGATTACATGGAGGCCGATTTATTACGACTGACATTCAATTCTTACTGGATTAACTAATATATCAAATTGGACAGTTCTTCCTTAAAACATGACATAACTCATAATTTCATTTAACTGGAGAAACAGCCAATCAGAATTGACATAAAATATACCAAAGAAATGTGGTGCGATTATTCAACTCTTTAGGCGCTTGCTTTATCATTAGCTGAGTATTTTGGTAGTACCGGCTTTTATGATGCTTAACTACTGACTACTCTGAAGTTAACACTGTTCATTAAAAAACAAATAAATCCTGTCCCTCTTTTGGTGCATGGAAAAGAATTTTCTCTATGCTCTAATACTATTACTGGCTGTTTCATTTTAATTATAACTTTGTTTTTTATTTACTGTAGATAATTTTTTCACCTCTAGACATCAAAATTTAAATACAGGTTTAGGCAACAGAGTCATGGTAACAAACTAGTAACAATTTAAAAAATCTTATAAAGACCCAATTATCTCATTTTACATTTTGCCCATTACATAAATATTTTGTCAGATGTCAAAGTTCAGCAGTTTTAGAATTAATTATTAAAATTAATATGGGGATAGAAATCATATTAGTGATTATCTCTATGAGGACTGGGGCACAGACTCAAAAGGGATATGAGGAAATAAATGGCTTATGGCAGTAGTTCCCACTTGATGTTGCTAAATACCCAAAATGCTTAGGACAGCTCTCTAAAACAAAGAATGACCTGGCCCAAATGTCAATAGTGTTAAGACTGAGAAACTTCAGGCTGGAGTTATGGCCATGCTCTATATCTTTTTTTTTCTTTTTATAATCCTCACCTGAGGACATTTTTCCATTGACTTTTAGAGAGAGAGTAGAAGAGAGAGGGAAAGACAGAGAAAAATATCAATGTGAGAGAAACACATTGATTGGTTGCCTCCTGCATGAGCCCCAACCAGGGCCTGTGCCAGGGAGGATCCTGCAACCAAGGTACATGCCCTTGACCGGAATCGAACCTGGGACCTGTTGGTCTGCAGGCCGACACTCTAGCCACTGAGCCAAACCAGCTAGGGCTATATCTTAACTGAGATCTTGGTTTGACTATACATTAGTCAAACTCATTGAATTGTATAATTACCAACTGTGCATTTTACTGTATGTAATTATATTGCAACAATTCATAAACAAACAAAGTATACTTGATCCAAGAGAAGGGCAAGAGGGTATATGGGATCTGATTGTATTAAGGAATAAGTTGGTTTAGCAAGGCAATGTGACAGTGGTATTAAGTATGTTTTATTATATTTCTTTTCTAAAACAGACTTATCTGTAGTACTAGCAAAATACCATCATTTGAATAACCAATCCTTCTTAGAATAAAAACTTGGCATAAGAAAAATACAACTGAAGGGAATAATTTAAAAATTCTAGAAAAGCTTCTTATTCTTAGACATCAAAAAAGTAACTACAAGAAAGATTTGGTTTGGCTATTTATAACAGAATTTTAACACATCAAGTTTTCTTAACTATATGCTCAGTAGAGAGAACGTGAGGCTAAAATAGGGCTCAATATGATGCAAATATCCTTCCATAAATGGATCACAGAATTACATCTCCTCTGATATCAATAAGCATAACAATGAATTTGATACTAACGGTAAATCCTTCACAAATAAATCCCCAGAGTTGTTGTCATCACTGGAGTTCATTCCAGAAGAACTTACTTCATGGTTCTGTGAATGTATTAAAAGAAAGAAAACATTAGTAAAACTGAAATATTCATCCCAAAACATTAATTTATTAAAAAATAAACACTTATTGTCCTAGCTGGTTTGGCTCAGTGCATAGAGCGTCAGCCTGCGAACTGAAGGGTCCCAGGTTTGATTCTGGTCAACAGCACATGCCCTGATTACGGGCTCGATCCCCAGTGGGGGGCATGCAGGAGGCAGCCAATCAATGATTTTCATTGATGTTTCTATCTCTCCCTCTCCCTTCCTCTCTGAAATCAATAAAAATATAATTAAAAAAATAACAACACTTATTGATAGTCTATCATGGTGCCAGGCACTGTTCCAGAAAATGGGTCTAAACATTTTTTTAGTTCTACCTTCTTAAAACTTGCATTCTAGTGTAGGTAAATTTTTTTTAAAAAGACAGATATATAAATAATTTCAGTGTATTAAATGCTACAAAGGAAATAGTTAAGTGACAGAAAGTAATTGAGGTGGAGGATTCTTTTAGATAGGGTGATTGTCATCTGAAATCTGAAGAATGCAAAGAAGCCAGCCATTGAAAGAGCTTGGGGGAGAGAAAGCCGTGGAAACAGCAAATACAAAGGTCATGATATACAAAAAACCTTGTGTGTTTAAAAAAAAGCCATTGGCCAGATAATGTAGAGCTCTGAGAACCATGAGTTTAAATTTTAGTTTATGTGTGATGGAAAATCACTTAAATATTAAGCAGGGAAGTACAAATGACCCAATTTTTAAAAAGATCAGTCTGACCCTAGTTGGTTTGGCTCAGTGGTAGAGCACTGGCCAGAGGACTGAAGGATTTCAGGTTCAATTCCAGTTAAGGGCATGTACCTCGGTTGCAGGCTCGATCCCAGGACCTGGTCAGGGCATTCTCTCACATCAGTGTTTCTCTCTCTCTCTCCCTCCCTCCCTTTCTCTCTCTAAAAATCAATGGAAAAAATAGCCTTGAGTGAGGATTAACGACAACAAAAACATCAGTCTGGTCACTGTGTGAAACATGGATTGAAAAGGGCCAAGGAGTTAGGAAGCCATCATAGTAAACGAAACAAGACATATTAGCTAGGACTGGAATTCTGTGGCTATGGCGGTAAAGCCAAGTGGAAGGTTTTGAGTTGAACAAATGGGGAAGATTGTTTTATTGAGATGCGTGACTTACGGAGGGAGGTAGAAGTACACAATATCTTTGGTAGGGTGGGAAATAGAGTTTTGTTTCCTACAGAATATGTTTGAAATCCTTTATAAATATTTAAGTGGCTATGTCAAATAGTTGTGCTGTGTATGTGTAGGTCTTGAGCTATAAATTTCTAAGTTATTAGCAGATAGGCAGTATTTTAAAGCTATGGGAGTAGTAAGATGGGTCGAGATCAACTGACATTTAGAAGAAGCCAGTAAAAGAGACTGACATGGAACAGTTAGAAAGGTAGAAAGAAAAATAGGAGAATATGATGGTAAGAAAGCTAAGAGATCAGAGTATCTCTAGCAAAGTGTAATCCCTGTTTGTATGTTACTTCAAGGTCACGAAAAAAAAGTGACTTCTGATTTGGCAACACGGAGGTTTTAGCAACCTCGACACAGTGACAATAGAATGACATGGATAGATGTCAGATAAGAGTGAGTTCAAAAGTGAATGGAAGCATTCATTGGTTGAGTCTTTTATGTGCTCTGAGTAGGGATGGAACCCAAAACCTTGGTGCATTGGGATGATGCTCTAACCAACTCATTACCCAACCAGTGCATAAATACGTGGAACAACAAATTGATGTTTCTCTCTCTCCCTAAAATAAATAAATAAATAAAAATGGCTAAGATCACTTAAAAAAAAAAAGGAAATGGAAGCTGAGAAAGTGAAGACACTAAGTGCTCTGTTCTCTTTGGAAAAGTTCTGCTGTGAATGGGAGTAGAGAAATAAGCAGATAGAGATGAGATCAGGAGAGGTTTCATTTATTTTCTTTTCCTTTGCACGTAAGAGATTCTAATGCACATTTGTATGATAGCTAGAATGATTCAGCAGAGAGGGAGATAAATGTTGGAAAAGAGTTCAAACTTTCAGGAGTAAAGTCCTAGGGGAGATGAGAAGAAGAGAACTGATGCACAAGCGGAGGGCTTGGACTCTGATGGGAGCAGCGACACTTGTCCCTGCAACAAGAGGGAAGATGGAGAACATGAGAATAGATATAGGCAGATTTGTAGACTTGTATCGGAAAATGAGAGTTCCAGTCTGATACCTTAGAAGTCATTCTAATTCAGTCAGTTGTTTTTTGAAATTTGATGCACATATAATATGCTAACGTTATAATGAATAGGTCAAACTGTTTATCAGAGACAAAACTAGAAATTTAAGCCTGTTAAAAGTTTTAAATTTATTATCAATATAGTTAATGTTCTAAACCAGTTTATTACTGAATAAGAATATTTACCCTACAGAGTGATAAAATTCAAAAACAAATTATTAAAAAGATCCATCATAAGATGTAGGGAACAAAAGGCTATTAGAAATTAATTTCTGGTTAATTAAAGCATCTTATTAAAGCATTTTAAGCTTCTCCATCACTGTTAAAAGGACTTGCTAAGCATGGAGGCGAGTGATGGTTGAGAATGAGTGACATATGCAACTAGTATATGGCAGAAAACAAACTCTGATGTTTTAAATGCTAAGAACACTTTCACCCTGCAACTAACAGTATGTTTTAATAAATTGTGATTATCTCATAGCTACTTATTTTATACTATTCTATGTGTGATTTTAGTTGGAAAGGGAAGAGGAAGATTCAAATGTCATTGGAAGAAATTTCTTCCTCACTATTTGACAGAAAAAGGAAAAGAAAAATATTAGAAAAGATGCATTTTTGAAGGAAAAAAATTTTAATTAAATAATCCAACCTCACATAAAGGTAAAGAAATCATATTTTATCTTTATAGGGAAAATTCTCTACTACACTGGATAGGAATATAATATACACATACATTCTATATATCACACATAGAAAAAATGTGGAATCACCTTAGTTGCAGGGAAGCAAGAACTCTTTCACTGACTCCTGTCAACAGAGAGGTGACTTTAATTCCTTTCTCAGGTCCATGTCCCTACTCTAATCACTATGGTCTGGCTTTCTTCTCTGGTCTCCTGCTAACACAACAGTCTTCACTGGCATAGCAAACAAACAGCCACAGGGAAGAACGTAATTGTTAACACTAGAAACTCAACACTGCTTTTCTCTTTCTCTGCCCCACGCATTTCCCTGGCAGTGGCTTCTGGGAAAAAGAAAGAAGAAACTGGCTCATCATTACTCTTCTCAGGATTAACCTTCAATGAGACACAAAGAATATTCTAAACCAAGCTTTTTCCATGTCTGTTATAGTCTGGCTGATCCTTTTATAGAACCTTGGATACAAACAGAATCCAATTAAAAATGTGGACAGAAAAATGTTCAGGATATTTCTCGTTTGGGAATTAATGAATTATCTTCTTTATTTAGCCAACTAGTAGATAAAAATGATTCTCTAGAAGCACATAAATGCTCCCCACCTCCAAATTAAGTTTTTATAAAACCCCACTAGATGTAGCAAAACTACATAGAAAAGCTAAGATTTATAGTACTGATTTACAGTTATCAGTAATTAATTTAACTAGCATAAGTGATTTAAACTACTAATTCATAGCTGTACCATTTTTTCCCCTAAGAGCCTTTGTAATGAAAATACCTGAGCAGGTTCTTCTGTTTGTTGTGAAGTAAGTTTTTCTTTCAATGCATATAACTGGTATGTGAGGAAGTAACATTCTTTTCTCAGCTGTAGGATGATGTCTTGGGCTTCTCTCACTTTGGATTTTTCATTTTCCAAAGCTAAAACTAACATTTTGTTGTTGTCTTGGTAGTTTTTTAGCAGTGTAGAAGTGTTGGCTAAAAGAGGATAAATTTTTTTTATTAGTTATTAAATTTAAACTTAAAAAGTTATGCAAAAGAACAGCATGAAAATCTTACTGATTATTTGGCATGGTGCAACTACAAAAGACTTTCGTTTGCCAATCTCTGCCAAGTTTTTATTCCTTTTCTCTTTCATTCGTTTCTTTATTTCTTCAAGACTTTCTTGAAAGGACTTTTTGAGGTTCCTTTCCTTGGCCATCTTCTGCCTAGGAATTTAAAACAATAAAAAGTATTTCACTTTTAAAAAGTATCATCAAATATAAAGCAAGCTTGAAAACAGAGGCTGTTCATAAAGAATCATTAAACAGAGATTTAGTCAGAATGGCTATCATCAACAAATCAACAAACGACAAGTGCTGGAGAGGATGTGGAGAAAAAGGAACACCCGTGCACTGCTGGTGGGAATGCAGACTGGTGTAGCCACTATGGAAGACAGTATGGAGCTTCCTCAAAAAACTAAAAATGGAACTCCCATTTGACCCTGTGATCCCACTTCTAGGACTATATCCCAAGAAACCAGAAACACCAATCAGAAAGGATATATGCACCCATATGTTCATAGCAGCACAATTCACCATAGCTAAGATCTGGAAACAGCCTAAGTGCCCATCAGTAGATGAATGGATTAGAAAACTGTGGTACATCTACACGATGGAATACTATGCTGCTGTAACAAAGAAGGAACTCTTATCATTTGCAACGGCATGGATGGAACTGGAGAGCATTATGCTAAGTGAAACAAGCCAGTCAATGAAGGAAAAATACCACATGATCTCACTCATTCATGGATAATAAAGACCATTATAAACTTATGAACAAAAATAGATACAGAGGCAGAGCTGCCTCAAACAGACTGTCAAACTGCAGCGGGAAGGCCGGGGAGGGTAGGGGGGCAGAAGGGGGGCGGGTAAGAGATCAACTGAAGGACTTATATGCAGCATATAAGCATAACCAATGGATATAAGACACTGGTGGGTAGGGGAGGTCAAGGGTGGGGAAAAAAAGGAGACATATGTAATACCCTTTGTAATACTTTAAGCAATAAAAAATAAAAAATAAAAAACAAACAAACAAACAGAACAAAAACAGATTTAGTAACTGAAAAATTAGCTC